GAGCTGACCTGGTATCAGTCTGCTGTATAATAAGCTATGGCAAACTACAAAGCTTTTACAACAGCAAAGCAACATCATGCTTTCAGATAAGTTTTATAGCAAAAAACTCCTCCTTTTCAAAGCCTTAGTAATACCTATCTCTTTTACAAACTTTTCCTGTATTATTACAGACTTTTTTTTTATATTCAAAATAAGTTCCAAGGATTTCTTTCGTGGACTATGTACATAAGTGCAAAAAAGGTGTGTCTCACACATTCGTACACTAACTGAATCAGTTTAACTGCAGCATATTGGTATCTTCAACACTGTTACGGGGTCATTCCACAATATTTTTTTTTTTTTCTTATGTACAGTTTTTGCTGATATAAATTAGTATTAAAATAGTTACACGTTTTCATCATTTAGCCCTGATCGTAACATAATCACACGAGTGTTCAATTTCAGGAAAAAAAAAAAAAAAAAAGAAAAAAAAAAAAAAAAAAAAAAGAAAACCCAACAGAAAACTGCAAGCAGAGCTACAGTACTGAGAGGGATGGATTCGGAATTCCCACAATGGCGGTGAGTGTGAAATGAAGGAACGACCATCACTACGTCCCCACGCAGCCCGTCGTGCTGTCGGAGTTAAAATACTGTGGAATAACCCTTGCCACACAACAATTTTCTACAAGCTATAAAACCTGACTCTAAATCCATGTGTTGTAAACTTCTCGACTGAAAAAGTGACGTACAGACACCGATTCAGCGTTCACATGGGACTTTGGGATTTTAAAAATATTCAGTCATCTCTTTATCTGACAGTATCGAACTGTACCTTTAACAAGCTCATACTGTTACACATCACTTTTAATTTACATGTGAAAATCTCACAAATAACGTATACAAAGGTAGCCATGTTGTAGTTTTGTTGCCATAGCAACAACAACTTAATATAATTAGTTAACAATGAATCTATCATTGTAGGAGTTACATACAAAGTTAATTTTGTTCTTAAACTGTAAACTATACAGACAAGTTATGGACTGCGTTCTACACCTTACCATGCTTCAGTGTTGGTTTAGAAGAGAACTAAATGGGTTGGACAGACGTATGAAAAGCTTTAAACTTTCTCTAACTCTCCTTCAAAATTAAATTCATTCGTTACTAAAGGTATCAAAAAAGCAATAATGAAGAACCTTATGAACTAATGGTAAAGAAATGAAAATACATGACGTGGGTTAATGCGTTGTAGCCCAGTAACAATGTGTTGGAGCTATATTTACATTTGGATTAGGCTAGCAACTATGAAAGTTATTACAGTCTTTAACATACAGTATATACTCTAAGGCCTTCAACAGGCACGTGGTAAAATCAGGTCAATATCAAACTAAATCCATTCAACAGGAATGGGAAATTAGATTTTCCTCATAAATTTCACCTCCTTCCGTTTTCGCGCGTGTGAAATGTACAAGGGATCAAAACCAAAACCCAACGAGGACTCCAGTTTCTCAATCACTGCGTGTCCTAGAGCTACCCTACAGCGCCAGCAAGGGGCCCACGAGGTGGAGAACATTTCTCATCCAGCACACGCGGCTCCTCGTCCCACCGGCACCTACCGCAGGCACACAGCCATCTCATCTCCGGCGCTGCCCCGACGCTCCCGCGGCTCTGGCTGCCCAGCAGGACGTGGGCTGTGGGCCAGGAGGAGCCCGCAGTGGGGATGAGCAGCTCCGTGGCCGTGCCTTTGGGTTGCTGAGAGCACGGCCAGCCTGCCTGCACCGCCGCTCCTCAGCACCCCGAGCACCGCAGAGCATTCAGGAGCGGGGCCGGCGTGGGCTGCCCTGGGAGGGAATGGTTTCTAGGACATCACGATGCAAAAATACAAAGTCAAAACATCATCAGCTAGAAACTTGCAACTAAAAAAAAAAACAAACCAAGAAAAACAAAAAGAAACAAAAAAAACCCAACAACATTGATTGCGAAATCGTGTTCCGAATTACTAAAAACACTGTATTTAACAAAAATAATCTTAATAGTTTTATGAATCCATTTTATTTTAAATCCCTCTTTTATTGTCTGCTTATGTTACAGTTTAGTAGTAGTACTTTTATTGAAACTACTAACAACCTTTTGCGTGAAAATGATCAATCTCAGCTTTCATTTTCCCTCTGCATGACCCGTTTTATCCAAGTTTCAGCATTTCTTGCATATTGTTTGCATAAGGCTGAGAGAAATGGACAAAGAGAAATCACTTTGGATAAATAAAAAATATAGGTTCATGGAAAGTGGGAAGCTTATAAAAATGTCACTAAAATTATATTGATTTAAACAAACTTACATACATCTCTTGTCAAATAAAGGATGATATTCATGCTTTTATGACATTTGTTTAGAGTCACTAACTAGCTCGGTGACTTTGTAAGAGTCTATTTAGGAAATTTATAGTCTGGCGACTGTTTTTTTTTTCTTTTTTCATTTTTTTTTTTTCTTTCTTGAACAAAGAAAATTAGAGCAAGTCATTGCACAACTAGTTTCAATAGTGCTACCTCAAATGGCATTTTTGCCGAGATTGTTTTGAATTTGGTGAAGTTTAGTGCTTCAAGCTTTTCTTTCCTTAAACTCATTTACAAATTAACGCTAAATTTGCCAGCAATATAAAAACTGTTGTGGCACCTAATATAACTACCCTGAACATCCCTCATTGGACCTCTTTAATAAAAAATAATCCTTAAACGCTTTTTTTTTTTTTTCAGTGCTTTAAATGTGACGTGAAAACAGCTGTATTCTAGGTTTACATTCTATGCACATCTATGCCAGATGTTTAAGTAGATAAATAAAATAGGAGGTTACATCAAAGTGTCAAGATATACAAAAATCCATTTAGCACTGAAAAAGTTCCAACCTCCTTTAACTCATAAAGCCATACAAGCTTGAATGCATCCTTTCTGGCTTAAGAAGATCAGCTCTGTTCTTTGTTGAGGCACTGGCACAGGTTGTGCAAAACCCATTTTGATACACAAATAATTTCAAACAGGAAGTACTCAAATCCACTTTTTCCACTAACAATGTTATGGTTTTGGGAAACAGAAACTCAGTGGTTAAAAGAACAGGTAGGCGGTAGCCAATATAAATGACAGCCACTAATTGCAGGCAACACTGTCTGCTTTTGAATGCTGATGGCTGGGAAGCATTCATGGACATGGAGGGACTGCCAAAACACGAGGTGTACGGCTGAGGGTTGGGGTTGCATGGGTTTCTTCCCTCTTTTAGGGTTAGGTTCAAAGCCTGCTGAAATGAATGGAAAGATTCCTTCTGGCTTGAGGCTTTTCTAAGCTGGACTCTTCGAAGGTGCTTGCTATGAATACATCTCCATACACACGTGGTTGCAGCCTGTCCTGGGTTATGCCTGTTGGAGCCAGCCTGCCCCTTTGTCCCTTGTGGTCCATGTAGATGCACGTCCATCAGTACATCTGCACTCACAGAAGGACATTCTCTAATCAAGATTAAGGAAAAAAAAATGGAATCTTCTTGGTACCCCACAAAATCACTGTAAGCTGAGGGCAGCAGGACACTAACAATTCGCCCATCACCTGGCTTTAAAAATGATTCTCTTTCTCCTAGCACTTCACACTTCTATGAAGTCGAGGGAGCAAATCCATCTCTTCCATGATGCCAGCGATAGTACAGAGCTATGACAGGGATGAATTTTAGCTGCATTCTCAAATTAAAACGTACTCTGTGTAGCCAGATTGTTCAGCAAGGCAGCACAACACCAGGCAGTGCTGCCCAGGGTGCGTGGGCAAGGAGCTGCTTTATTCACGTGCATGACAAGGAGGTATTGAGAACTAGCCCTTGTTGTGTGACAAACGTTGGTCTTCATCAAGTAGAAGGTGCCAAACCACATCCACCAAGCTCTAGGAACACCATAAAAATGGATGCTTACGTACGATAGAATTTTTCCTGGTTTGTTATGCTGTGTTTGCTTTATAGGGCCAGAACTTAGGGAAAAATCACCAAGTCACGGTCAGTGGTGATTAAAGAACTGGTGCATGCTGACAAAATTTCAGGAAGGGTCACCAGATTTCAGGCTGAGATGTTCAGCAGGCTCAGTGAAGAGATGCTCATGGGCACAGTACTACCCAGCTTGGGCCAAGCCATGGTGATGGGCCTACTCCAGCTACGTGTTTTGTAGCTAACAGTTGGCATTTGTTCCTCTCCAATGCAAATGCCCAAAGGAAAACATCTCACTCATCCACCTATTACTTTCCATTGCATCACGAGAACATCAAGAAAGATTGTGCGCCGTTTGCAGCTGAGAATGCACTTCAACATACAATAGAACTGCAGAAATTCTGAGCAAATCTTTCCTATCCCCTTAACTGAGAGTGGGCTTTTGTCTTTCTCTTTTTTTTTTTTTCTTCTTTTTTCTCCAGTTTCCAGAATCAGCTCACTGTATTTAAAGAAATACTCTGAACTGGATTGAAATCACAGCTGGCCTTGCACATCATTGGTACTAAAAATCTGGAGAGTATCTGAAGGCAAATTTTAAATGATAAAAGGAGCCTTTAACACAAACAACTTCAGCTGACACGAACAGCAATATCCAGAAAAGGGCAGAACATTCCTGCGTCGTGTTTTTCAAGCACATAATTCCTGTTTCCCACGATAACATTTTTAGTAAAAAACAAACAAAACTCCATAAAACCTACAGTATATGAAAACTTAAGACATAACAATAATGAAAAAATGGTATTGAGTATACTTGATAATGATGTACACTTTAAAACAAATCAATAGACTATGATGTAAACAAAACAGTAAGATAACACTTTAAAAACAAGACAGACATTTATCCATCGATAGTATACAGTAAACCAACAGTCCGCTGTGCAGATGCACTTATCAGGATGGTAGTCGTAAAATGATTAAGTGTGTTAAAGTAATGTGTTATAAAAGTCTATTATAATTTTCTACTTGTATATCTCATATAACAGAGCGCTGTTTGTTAATTGTTTCTATAGTGCTTTTTTTTTTTCTTTTTTTTTCTTTTGACATTCCCATTGATCAGTTTTTGGTTAACATGTAGGCTGCAACAGGCTTACTGTAGAGGTGGTAAAGAACGATAGAAGGGAAGAGGGGATATATACAGAAAGGCCATGCGCAGCTTCCCACCAAGAAGTCCTGGTGCTCCATAATTTTATGGTTCAGAATTTCAACATGGTCTGCTGGGAAAGAGAAAACAAAGAGTGAGACGTCAGATATTTTTTTCTATAGAAGTCATTCTATTAAGATGCATCTGCATCCTCACTGCATTGCCTTTGAGGTTGCTATTAGTATGTCGTGGAGAGAAAATGTTTTATTCCCTTAATTTTCTGACATAGGGTAAAATTGCTAATAACACACTTGGCATCCTCTTTAATCAGCACTTAGGGCTTTCCATTTCCAGCACGCTTCACACATGCTGACAAAACAATTTGTGGAATGGGAAGGTGGGAGAATAACAATCTCATCTGTGAGACAAGATGGCAGGTAGAGAGCGACTGATGAGAGGGCCAGAGGAATCCCTGACTGCTGCTGCCTCCTGTTCGCTGTGAAGATACTTACATTAAAATCTAATCCCAGAGAGCCAAAGGTGAATCAGACTCAAAAGCCTTGTGCTCAGGCGGCCCTCATCTGGGAGAAAATCTCCTCTCCTGGCATGCACTTGTGAAAATCCTCCCTGCGAAGAGCTAGGCTAGCCAGCCTGGCTACCAGGACCTGGTCACCATGGAGAAAAACATCTGCCGCAGCAGATTCTATTACCAAACTCCCACTCACAGCAGCTTTGGGAATTCACCTTCTGGCACTGCGGAATGCCAACTAAGATCCTTATCTAGCAAAAAAACACGAGCACATGCACAACCTCACATGCTCGGGTGGCTGCATGAAACAGGATCAAAACACAAAGGCTCCTGTGTGGGAATGGTCACTAGTGGGTCTGTGAGCACTGGGGACACTCGAGGAAATCAAGCACATTTACAGACTGGTAGAAAAGAGCTATGTCCCATAGCTGCAAGGTGGTGAGAGGACAAGCACATCTGGCAGAGTGCATCTGGTCAGGCGTGTGGCCACAGCTCCCTGTTGAAGAACAGGCTGCTTGTCTGGTGCAGATACTCTCCATGCCCAGTAGGCTGGTCCCCAAGAGATCCAACCAAATATAAGGTGTTTGACCTTACTTCTTTCAGGCAAGGGTTTTCACTGCCCTTAAAAGCATGGCTGACTCAGACAGACTGTACCATGCTCACTGTTTGCTAAATAAAGCTTTTTCAAGGAATTTCCTTTCCTACTCTGAAATCATTAGTAATTGTCAGTGTGAGTTTAAGCACACACACAGAAGCAAAAAGAATCCAGAAAAAAATTTCCTGAAATAAATACAGAAATCAATCTCAAAGAGTTCAGTAATGAGGTTCTTCCAATGCAAATGATCTCCTTATCGGGTGGAACAGACTGTTTTGCATGTGTTATGGAAATTGTGGAACATGTCAGGTGTCACGTCTGTCTGTTGTTTAGGAGAGCAATATACTGCACAGCACAGAATGTTTTCACTGACAGAGATACCTCATTGCTCACCTAGACTAACTGGGGTCCACGGCCACCGTGAGCAGGCAATTTATACATACGACAGCTTATTTAGGTCACCAGAGATAAGGGACATCACTGACACAAGTGACTTCTGTCAGCTGCTAAAGATATAATTAGAGAATTGCTTGCCAAATTAATTTCCAGCATTTAAGTACTTGCTTGTAATACATGATCTAAAGAAGAAATGGGTTGCATATCTGTGGCCTGTGTTGGAAAAATCTGGTGATTTCTTGTTGAAGGGGTTGAACTGCTCATTCATCTCTCGGGGTGAAAAATAAAGTGATGAACTAAAACCCTCAAGGGATTCTCTCTCATGAATATTAGCTAACACTTACAAATAAAAGAAATGGAAAAATAACACTGCTGCTAAGGCTGCAAAATGCTCTGTAAGTCAAAGGAAAGGATAAACTTCATTATTCTCAGACAGAGAAGCCCAGCAGCCCAGGATCTGCACGTGTCATGAAGGCTATGCTGCTTGTGGACCTGTGAAGAAAACTACCATGGGTCATGCCCCACTGTGGTTAACAGATCCCTGCCCAACCCCCGCCCATCCTGCTGATGCACAGCAGCTGAAGATGACCGAGTCCTGCTTACCCCAGGAAAAGGAATACTCCACTAACAGCAAAACACGAGTTTCACCTTTTCAGCTGACTCATTACCAGAGCAGTCTTTACCAGCAATAGCATGAACCCCTGAGGCACCTGCAGGCTGCTGGGAGCTGTGCAGAGCAAGAGTAACTTGCAAACATAACCGTCAGACTCAGGGGGATGCAAGAAAGGGAGGCTATAAACACCACAAAACAGCTATTTTAGACACAACGAAACACTGCTTGTTGTAAGCCACAGGGCTGGTCTGTATCTGTGCTGCAGCTGCTGAATTGCTGTTGTCTTGGTAGAGAGCAGAGCCACCGGGGTCCTGCAGGCTCAGACCCACAGCCCAAAGCAGCCCCTTTTAGGGGATGCAGTGCCCTTGGAACAAAGCAATCCACTGTAAAGAGAAATACTGAAAAGCAACTTACTGTTCTATCGGGAACTTCTACATCTGTGAAACAAACATGCTGCTACTCAGTTCATCTACTGATAACTGGGATATCTACAGCAAAGAAAACAAAGAACACAACACATTAAAACATTGCTTTGAAATCCGTCTCTTCGTTCTGTCTTCAGTTTCAGGTTAGCAAATACATCAGTGTCTTATAAAACAGGATCCACTCCCAAGTTGTCTTTACTTTGCCACACATTGAGTACGACATAGCTGCATCACTACTGATGCCTCGTGGACTATGCGGTGATTGTACTGGGATTTTAGCTCCATGGACTACAAGTAAGACAAATGCTCTGAAATTAGCTGGCTGAGACATAAGGAGCATAGCTTTGTCCAGACTCATATAGCCACAGAGCAACACTGCACAGAAATTTCTGCTTTCTTCTCATGACCAATACGAGTAAGACCTTCTCTACCTGACAACTACAACACAGCACAGAGAAAGAACAGCAATACCTACTGCAAGCAGTAAAACACTGCCGAGGACTTAACACGGGTAAAACTTCTCCTGGAAGCTTTATAACCTCACGCTAACAAAAGACTGCAGGAAACCCCCTGAGACAGTAATGACATTCAGCATGGCTAACAACATCCTACTGAATAAAGCGATGCCCCATTTTTTCTGCTATAGCTCTAAACCTGAGCGTGACGAAGAACTGAGAAAGCTACAACTTGTTTTGGGGAGTCGGGGGGAAGGACTTGACATTTCTCTGGCCTCAGTGGATAAAGTTGTGGCACACCAAATTGTCGGGAAGCATCACTGGGACAGGTTGTGCGTATACAGTTCGGGACGGGTGCGGAAGCAGCCATCACAACTCAGTATCTTCAGAGGAAAGTTTTGGAAAGAGTTATGGCTCGGCAGACATGCATGAAGTCCTGGACACTTATGGCAGTGCTACAACGGCACGTACTGCACATCCAGAGTCATTTCTGTAGGGATGGGTGACATTACTGGTGTAAATAAGCTTCAGACTTCATCGCCTCAACCCCGTTTTGTTTTGTTGAGCTGTTTTTAGAGTCCAATTTCGCAATACGGGGGGAGGCCGCTTTGTGTTTCCACTTCCACTTTCCAGCCAGGAGAGGACATGCCAAAATACCACAGGGAAGGATGCTCGGGGTGGTATTTCTGCTTGAGACTGAAAGCAGAAGTGCTGCAGGTCTAAGTGCAACAGAGGAGTTTTGCAGCCCGAGTTCCGAGTTCCGGGGCACTTTGGAGAAGGCAGCGAAGCGCCCAGACCTGCGGGGCCGTGCCCTGCCAGTCGCCCATCCCTACGATCCCGCCGCAGCGGTTCCAGCCGGTGCCCCCTCACCGATCCCCAGACACACGCTGCCTCTGCGCGCCCGAGCCTGCACCGAGCCGGGCGGGACTGGGAGCCCTCGCCCGGTCCTCGAGATCTGAACACACGTGAAAGAAAGCCATTGAAAGGGCCAAACCTGATTGGCGGTAGCTGTTGCAGCGAAGGGGACGCTGGTGGCAGGAGTTGTTGCTGCAGACACAGTGGTGGGCGTAGCACCGTGCATCATGGGCACTTTCGGAAGGGAACCATGGAAGCGACATACGGGAGGGTGGAGCGTTTTTATGTAACCATGGCAACATGTGGTGGATTTGGGGGCGTGGCAGGAATCACAGCAACAAGCCATGTGACATCGTCATGAAGGACACATCGGGGCGCGGCATGCAATCACAGTGCAAAGCAAGACAGCGTTGGGAAAAAAAATAAACAAGAGAGAAGGGGAAAAGCCAATTACAATTATAATTAAGGAAAAAACCAAAACATTCTCAACACTTAGTACATTTATAAGCAGAACAATGATGTATTAGACTCCAAAGGCCAAATTTCCAAAGGGGAGGAGGGAGGGTGTGCCAGCAAAAGCCCACGTCAGCTCGCACCCCTGGGGAGTTAGACGCAGCCAGCGCACGTTCCTTTGGGTGGGGACATTTTGACAAGCGCACCCTCCCGCCCGCCTTGGGAAGCTCATCCCCTTCCCTCCCCTCCCCGTCCCCGCCAGGAACCAGGGGAACTCAGGGGAACTCTGCTGCGAGCCATGGCAGCGCGTTGCACGGCTGGGGCCCGTGGCACAGCTGCAGCCTGGCCGCCATCCTGCTAGGCCGCAGCTGCAGCAGCCCTCTGCCATGTTTTGTTGTCTCTGTTTCAGCACAGTATGGGCTGAGGGCACTGCAGGAGCACGGCTGGCAGCCCGAGCTCTCTCCCCACGATTCCAGCGTGCTTCCTTACTGTGCTAATTCTAGAGGATTTGATGGGATTCCCTCCTTGCAAGATAGGAGGGGATGGCAAGGGGAGGAGGCCAAGAGGGAGAAACACAGGAGTGCATCCAACGCTCACAACTGGCAGGAGAGCATCCAGAAGGGCAGTGCGGCAGCGGGGAGCTCAGCAGCCTCTCCAAGCTGTGAGGAGCCGGAGGGGATGCTCTGGGGCACCCGCAGATCCAGGAAGCAGGGGAAGGATGCTGCCTTGGACCACTCCAACCTGAAGATAACTCATTCTGGCCAGGCAGGACTTGGGAGCGGAGCAGCAGGCAGCACGCAGGAGCCAGCAGCCTTTGGCAGCTCCTCCTCCAAGGGCTGGGTGAACCCATGGGCAACTTGAACGTCAGAAGCCACACCTGGGGTGTCACCCGAGGATACCCACAGCCCCAGATGTCTGTGGGTGCTCCCACCCAGCCCATCTCAGCACACACGTGGGATTCAGCAAAGTCCAGCAGAGCTGGAAGCTGGGGCCTGCAGGAGCGCTCTCAGGGTTCAGCAGCAGGGTAACCCTGTGCCCACAGGGCCCCCTGCTCCAGTGCGTTGCCTTCAGGTGGAACAAGCAGCCTGTAGGACGGGGAGGTTCAAGAGCAGAGTGCTTAGCTGTTTCTGCTAAAGCTGCTGGCTTTCAGACTTCCCCAAACTGCTCCCCAGGGCTCCTGTTCCCTCCTCTCACACTGCCCGAAGCAGGCACACCCCTGTCCAGGATGGCTGTTGACAGGAGGTTGAAAGCTCAGATTTCACTTATGCCGCTGTGCCCAGCAGCTGTAGATAGAAGTGGGGGTCCCTCAAAGACCCACGCAAGCCCCAAACGTGACCCAGATCCTGAGACTAAGCATTTTGGATCCCCGCAGAAGCAGAGAGCATCTTCTCAGCCCTGCTGCCTGATTGCATCCCTGGTCCCCTATTCACAGTTCCTTGAGTCTGCACTGCTAAAAAGTCACTAATGAGATGAATCTTCAGCTGGTCCACAGTATTAGCCCTGCTTCACTCACTGTACCACTGGCACCCTGCTCTGGCAAAGGGCCTGCCTCTAAATACGTTCCTTCTCAGAGCCTTTATTAAACCAGTCTCTTAAAATGTCCTCAGGACAGCCAAAAACTTGAACGCTAATATACCTGATACAAAAATAACAAACCAACAGGATTCTCCCACTGCTATTCCTTTTGTTGGACAACTTAAATGGGTTGTAAAGACATTTAGGTTGACAATTTTTTTTCTGCAGCAGAACTAAATAGGGGTGGGAATGCATTGCCTTGGATTCTTGTATTAGTCACACGAAACACTGCACTGCACAGAAATTAAAAGGGGTACAACCATTTAAGCCTCAAAGAAGACAGCGGATAGACAGTCACACCACTCAGCCACCCAGGTTCTCACTGATGCATACTGACTTGCTGTCTCTTTCAGATTAGGAAAAGTTGAGAAGTTTGTGTAGAAAAACCTACCAACGCTTGCAGTGGGTGTCATGCACAGAACTGACCCTGCGCACCATGCATTGAAGCGTGGAAAGATGAACAAAAGGGATATTTCATTAGTGAAGCTTCAGTGTTAGAAATCACTTTAACTAAAAAGCAGGTATTCTCTTTTTGCAGCATTCAGTATTTAAGCACATGCAAAACATTCTGCATATAGATACATAAATAGTTTAAACTCAGTTTTAAGAGATAGTAGCAAAACAAATTAATTCTTGCATTCTTGGGTAGTAGAAAATGTATTTCTTCTTCCACCCTGGTATTAAATGATGTGATCTATTCTGGAAATCGGTTGCTTTGTTGTTTTTTTTTTAGTATCAGGTGTATTGATTTCTTTCCAATCACAGAAGCAGACAAGACTGCCTTACAGGAACATCACACTCATGTTAAAACCAACTTTCTAAAAACAATTTACTCCTGTAAGCAGGGATTGGGATTCAAAGTCTCTAGTTTAAAGCTGAAAGAGGCAGTTCCTTTAGACTTGAAACAGCTGCAGTGATGACATCATTTTCAGTGTTCACCCTGATCTCCCCACCTCCATGGCAAACCATGATGCTGAGAGATCATGGTTTATCACAGAGGGAAAACTGACACTTCAAGGACTGAACAGGAGACACTAACAAAAGTAACTCTACCACTCAAAAGGGTGTGAGCTGCTACATGCCACCTCTCTGCTCTGCTGCCAAGAGCACTGCAACGGCTTAGATCAAATTTGCAGCCTGATGCATGAGTAACAGAACATGTGGATGTGTAAACTCATCAGAGATTCATTCTCTGACTGGAAATGTACTTCTCTGATCAGCATTAATGTCCTCAGACAAGAGCCAGTGTCAGCAAACAGATCTGTTATGCATCAGCCTGTGCGTAATCCCATCGCTGAGAGACAGTGCACAACAGTATCATGAGAGTTCTGGATGAAAGCTAATTTACAGTGCTTGCATCAGAAATAGGTATCTTTATGTCAGCTTTGGAGACTGCAAACTCAAGGAAGGGAAGCATGTAGCCAGCTCACAGACTTGGCATTCTAGAAAGTGTGAATGTTTCTTGAAGTTGTTTTTCATTCGGCATCTGAAAGAGCTGCAGTAAGGTCAGCTCAGCCCATCCCCTCCAGAAGCACTTTGCAGACCATAAGACTCCTACTTAGTCCCTCCCTTCATCTCTCCATGTAAGACACTCCTTCCCTGGGAAAACATCCTGGCAACTGCTGAATTCTGAGCATCTCCAATACTCTCATAGGGACCATGAGAATACAAAATTTAGGTCTCGACTCTCTGGACCATGTTCACAGCTGAGGTTCACAGTTTAGTCTCAATACTAGGCTCTCTTAAAGCTTTTCCCCTGGCTCCAAAGAATGGCATGGCTGAGGTCCAGGTCTACTGCATGTTTAGGTCTACTCACGGAAAGGCTTTGTATATTTTTATATATATCACTTGGCAAATGAATACAGTGTTAAAACGTTAAAAGCTTCAGGCATTTGTTTCCATACAATGCTCTGCAATGAAAATAATGATACTAAAACTAAGCTACCAACTCTGAAATGTTCCCAGTTCAGCCACTTGCAGTACTTACTACTCTAAGCAGGTTTTGTTTTTCATTTGGCTGCAGCGAACAGAGGTTAATTGGCGAGGCAGCAGTCGCATCTGCCACGTCAATGTTTCGATTTCTATATGAATTACTGAGCTGCATCTTCCAATTTTACTCTGAGACCTTAAAGGTACAATAAAAGCTGGGAGTTAAATTGCTTTTAAAAATCTCAGGCTATCATACTGGTCAAAAGACAAGCAAGAGGGAAAAATATGCCTTTAAAGGCAATTACGTAATTTGTATTTACTGAAGATGAGCCATTCCCTCTGCAAACATAACGGCTGCTGGAATATGTAGGTCACTGAGATAGAAGGTTAGAAAGAAACCTGCAGCTTGAAGTGAGCAGGCAGCTCTAAATACAGGTCCACCAGATATTTTAACATGAGTCTTTAATATAGCTACACAAGAGTCAAAGAATTAATTTGGGATTATCCAGTTGAACCATAAGAAGGAAAAACAGGAAGTATGAATTCAAGAAACATGCAGACAGTTTTCTTAGTTGGACTGCTTAAAAAAAAAGGAAAGGCTAAGAAGGGCTCTTTATAAGTGAAAAGCTCTGGATTGCATTAGGTGAAGGAAAAAAAGTCAAACAACATAAATTAACATTCCATCGATTTTTAACACGAAACTTTATACACTAATATTCTTTTGCTAAGGACTCTTACAGATCTGCTTATTAGCTCAATGCCTAGGTCATACAAAGAAAACCACGATGGAGAAAGCAAGGAGACACTTACCCGTGGGGATGAACGCAGGCTGTTGCAACTGCATGTTGGCTAGAGCCTGTTGGTAGTGGAAAACGCTTGGGTTAAAGACTGTGGTGGCACCATTGTTTTTTTCAAGTGCTGGCCTCTTTGGTAAAGGTTGAAGTGCACCAGGCGGCAGGGCCTGTGGATAAGGGAGTCATTAAAGACAAGTGGAATAAAAAAGGGACCCAAAGTAGGTAAAGCATGCAAGAAATAACAGGGGTCTTGCCTGCAAGTCACCTGAAACTGTATCAACGTAACAGACAGGAAACAGAAGAGCAGCTGTATCAAAGTGACAGTTGTAGGTGAAATTACAGCTTCTCTAGGCAAGCAGTTAGTAAAGGCAGCAGGAGAAAGGGGCAGAGTGCAGAAAGAGGCAGAGTGCAGAAAGAGGAAACACTATGGGAGGTGTTCAGTGGGACTGACTTGGGCACACAGGAGGAAAAGCATGGGGAGGAGGAAGGGGAGAGCTGATCAGGACAGGATACTACAAAGCAGGCAATGGGCATTTAAACAAGAACATACCAGCTAAGAGAAGCACTGATGACTATTTAAAGATGGAAGGATTAGTATAAGCTGCAAGTGCCATGGAAAAATAAGGGATGCTTGCCTCTGCTTATTTCAACACCTGACTACACGTATCTATGTGTACGTTTGTGGTTGTCTACACGTGTAAGCAGATGACCCACGTGTTCCAGTGGTTAAAGTGGTACCATTGCCAATGGCACATACAATATCACATTCATAGTGAAATGCACTCTCCCTCGTTTTCAGAGAGGCTGAGAAACAACATGGTGAAAACGAGGACTGATTCTCCACTGCTTGCAACAGCTGCACAGCTCACAAACAGCAAATTTGGGCTTGCTCCCAATTTCTAGTAGTGCAGTGCTAGAAGGCCTCCAACAGTTAAATACCACTTGCTCATTATCAGCAGTGGAAAAAGCCATTGACAAATCTGCTGTTTGAACACGATTTGGGTGGGTCTTGCTATCAGGCAAATCCTCTCTTTCTGTTCTATCACACCACAGTACTTCTTCCAGCCTGTCAAACCTGTTTCATGACAAGACTTGGTAAAAAGCATTAGCCGGACTCAGAAACTTCTCTCAGTAAGGTACTCATCATTTACAAAGCGTGTCTCAACAGCAAAGTAGTATGTCAGGTTCTTAAGAAACAGGAATGTGTCTAATGATTTACAGCTTTTCATTGTACCCAAGCAAAAACCACATTTTTTTTTCTACATTGTGATAGAAAAGGGTCCTTTTTTAATTATGCCCTGCAGTCCTTTTGCATGTAACACTCCCATTGACGTCAATGAGCTTTACGCACGTGGAAGTCATGCAGAATCAGGTCATTTCTGCCTACTTGTGTTCTGTATCATGTAGCAAAGCAACAGCTGAAAAACAGGGTTAGTACTTTTGTTTGTTCAAATAAATGACAGTGAGGGATGGGCAATGGAGGAGGCTTAGCTAATGAAGGGTTAAGGCTACAAACACACAGTACTTGTAAGAAAGGACACAAAAAAAGAGAATTTAAAGTGTCATGAAAATCAACACACGACAGAACACAACCTAAAGCTTGCAACAGTTTGTCACCATTTAGAAATGGGTTTCACTTCAAATTTAATTTGCTATAGGAGACTGCTCATCTGAGAAATGTTAAGCAAGATACTTTCAGGCAAAATATGACTCCAACCTGTTGCTATTCTCATAGTGGCTTTTGGATGGCTTTAATATTATGAAAAACACAAAAATTAGAAGAAGAAATTGCATTTGCAAAACTGCCCTCAGACATGCACACATCCTCTGCTAATGTTAGCAGACAGCCAGTGCCAGCATTAGGATTTCATGATATCTTTCCAAATTTCTTCTGGCTAGTACCAAGAGACAGCAGTCAAACATGAGCCAACACTCTCAGACACCAAAATCTCTTACTTAAGATCTCCATTTTAGGATGAGGTCTTTCAGGTGAAGATACAAGTGTTTCCATTTTTAGGGCAGCCTACACTGGTATCTATGCTAAATCTGTATCTACATCTTGTCTATTTAATGATAGTTCCATAAATGTTCCTCTAGTGCAGAACAGATTTATAGCTTGTAGAGACTGGAGTAGCTCTGCTCACATCAGAGGTGTTTTACAGATCTGCAGAACTCACTTGCTGCTTAAATTCACGCTCCTCACTGTGCCTGATTGCAAAACACGCTTTTTTAGATGCTTCCAAAATCTGCCTCAGAAAAAAATAAAAATTGCTAATTATAGCAAAGCAACTGTGCCAAGCATGCAATGGACTTTTGACTCCTTTCTTCTTGGCCAAAGGCTGTCACTTCCTCAGAAAGTCCATTATGCCATAATGGCAGTGCCAAAAGCAGAACAGATGAAGGCTTTGAGACTTCACTATGATGCCTTGGCTCTCTACACAAGGGACAATTCCTGAGCCCACTGTTGCAGTCAGAGGGAGCATACAAACACCAACAAGCCAAGGGATGTCAAAGCAAAACGGTCCAACCTCCAAATCTCTAACATCACCATTCCTCCTACCTTTAGAGCCCCTCGGGGGCATGGGAGACAAAGGAGCTATGGCAATCCCATTTCTTTTGCCTGAACAGCACCTCTGGGAAATGCAAACACATCAGCTGGGTTGGAGAAGCCCCAGCATATGCAACATTTCCACAGTCTTCTAGAGAAGCAAGCACACTGCAATGCCTGCAGTGCAGCCTGGAGGCCAGCTTTGTAGAACAGGAGGCAGTGCCCATCTCGGTCTGGCTCTGTTTGGACACAGCCTTCTGGTCACCTGTTCCCATTCTCGGTGCTGTGGCAGTATCCGTACCACAGCACACCCTGCAGACAAACTCCAGCCGCCAAACTGTCACATCCTTGATATCTAACCTACCTAATCCTTGGCTTGGCCAGCACTGTGACTGCTGAGGACGGGCGAGAGATGGCTCTGCGCTTGCCCTGCTGTTTGACACATTCCCCATGTTTGCTACAAAGCCAGAGTGCTTGGGGTCAGGAATTACTATTGGCTTCCATGCAAACTGTGGCAATCCCCATGGATGGAGTACAGCACAAAGCAATGCTGTTTGGATGCAAAGAGAAATTCTAACCACATCTGGGCACTGCAGCAAACAACTGTGTTGCATGTGAAACGGGACAGCGTTTCTTTGATGGTCTCGGGACCATTATGCAGAAATCGTAACAGCTTGTGGGGATACATCTCTGCCTTGTACCATGTCCTGGTTCCAAAGGAATTCCCCAGGTGTGTCCTATAGAACCTACAAAAGGCAATAGGAGGCTCCTCAACACTTTTCGACCTTGCTGAATTCTGTAGCAATGCCTTCCTCCTGCAGGACAGGAGCTAGATCAGTGCAGTGCAGAACTTCATAACTTTACCTCATCCTGCTGCTTGCCTTTTCCCTCTGGACAAAATTCAGTCATGACAGAAGTAGCAGTAAACTTTGAGAGACGACAGTAGCCTTTTCTGACTCTTCTGTCTGTGTGCACAGAGGTAAGCAACCCTTGCAACATGATCATACCATGTGCTCTGGTGAAGGGGTTAATTTCTTCTGCTTAGTACCCATGTGATAGCCCACACTGATCTCAGGGAACAATTCCCACTGAAAAAATGCCAGGCAGTCCCTTATTTTTGGACTGGGAAAGCGACATTCCTGCTGGAGCATCTGAACATAAAGATTTCAGTCCCTTCTCTGAGTGGCATAGAAATAAATCCTTTGCCATGAATGACAGACAAAAATGCAATGCATGCCTAAGTCAAGATTTCCCACATGCAGGTTAATAACATATCTTTTGCAAGGCAGGAACTGGATTAAATCTTCGCAACAAACAATTTAATTGCTCCTCCAAGTTCCCTTCTGATCAGTATCTCCTGGGAGCAGATCACACTTTCCCTCCTCTGCACTTAGCCGGGAGGGCTGGGTCCGTATCTGACTTGCTGCTTCAGCCCAAGTCACAACACACAGAATGCTTTGAAAGAGGGCAGAGGTTGCACCCATTCCCTGGCAAGCAGCAGAGTCAATCCAAACAGTTCCCTCTGAAGACTACGTATGCTCTTATCGGTACCATAAACTGTTCTCCAGCACAGCCTCCACAAAAGGTTCAGAGGAGGTGACATATTCCAACAATGTGGCTGAAAGCATTCAGATGTTCCAAGGCAGGAAGACTATTAAAAGTCACTTATCTGATCAGGTTTTGTTCATTGAGAAGGTCAGAAGGGCAGGAGAGCTACAGAGTTTTCCCAGCATCAGCCAGATGGAGTCCTCTCAAGGGGTGGCTCCCCGGAGGGCAGCCAGGCACTGCGTGGGTCACTGCCTGTGGGCTTTGGGGCTGTGCTGTACCAGCAGTGAGCACGGGATGCTATTGTGTCAGGCACTGCTGTGTCAGTCATTTGGTGTCAGGCAGGGTATAATTCCAGCCTGCTGGTGGAAGCTGGTCCCTAACAAGACTTCCTCGTGCTGCTGTCTAAAGCTCCAATAGGAAAGCCTGTGGACTACTTAAAAAACAAAAACAACAAAAAACAACACACAATAACACCAGTCTTGCTGGGCTGCCCCCAGGGGCTTTGGTTCTGGCCAAACTCAATGCAATTATCTATTTTCATTTAAATTTGCCCCAAACAGAGCTTAAAGAAACATCCTCATTCTGGGAAAAGCAGCCTCTCTGGCCTGACCATACATTCACTGGCACTGGAGGGAGTATTCATCCCACTGACACTTCTGCTTCCCAACACTGAGAATGGGGAGCAACGATCCTCTGTGTCCACTGTTCCCTTTCTCCTTACAGCTGAAGGAAACAAGATATTTTCAGGATGTAATCAATCCCTCGAGTGGAGGTGAATGGGAGGGAATTTGTCTTAGCAGGCTTCTGAAATAGTGCATCACAAAGAGGCAGACTGCTGCTGCAATTGGAAAACCACCTGATAACCCCAAGCTGCAATAGAAAAGCCCCCAGGAATACTGAGCACTTCCAAAACGCAGCTTCAAGAGGAAAAGCTCAGCAGGTTAACGGGTGGCATGGGGATGCAGGATGGCATGTCTGAAGGGACACCAACATCTCTGGTGGGATGGGCAGTCTCCCAGGCACTAATACGACAGACAAGCAAGGAAGGCTTTCATGCAGATGGTTACGTGCAAAGCGAGAAGGTGAAAGGTCCAAGTACCAGGTCAAAGGTTGCCTCCAGCGGTCGCTTCAGTGATCTGACAGCTGGTTGAGTCTTAATTAGCAGGCAGCGAGCACATGATGGCAATGGGCCAGGGAGGGGGGGGGTCAAGCACAGTAACAAAACAGCGAGCAGAGGTGTGTCAAGAGAAAAGTGTTTTAGGGAGGCGAAGAGAAAAAAAAAATAAAATGAATGCATTATACAATATATTAAAAAGACGAGGCATGCACAACATGGGATGCCTAGGTGACTACCTGGCCTAGTGGCTAGTCAGCTATTTAGCCTCAGTACACTTCAAAACTAAAGAAGTATCAGTAGTGTGTGCCCTAGAGTACTGTCACTCAGCTCAGCGATTAGCTGCAGGCAGATGGGAATGGGCACCAGCCCCAACCCTGCAGCTCTGCACAGAGGTCAGCGGGAGGGCTGGTGGCAAGAAGAGGTAAAGCATGCTCAAGCACTACAGAAGTGTGATCCCAAAGCAGGGACTGAGCCTGACCCAGTTCATTCAGCTGTGCTGCACAGACTGCAGCCAAGCAGCTGTGAGTGAAGCTATTGCTCGTGCGTGTCAAGTCACTGCAGGACTGTGTCCTTCAGAAACGTCTGCTGAATCTGGATTTGAAATCAGTCCAGATCTGTTTTAGGAGGACTTATTACACCCGTTTGTCTGGTATGGTTTTTTTTCTTTGTTTTTATCTAAGGAGACTGGGTACCAGTTTTCCCTTGAATAAGATCTTATTCTTCAACAGGTACAGTAAATGCATCAAACCTTGAAAAGTCAATGAATAATGTAAGCTGTTTTGGTGGCAAGGGTGATGCAACAAGCCATCAATAAATATTTTAAAGGTTCTAGTTAACAGCATACAAATAAGGTTAATTACGTTTTTAAGAGAAGCCAGCAGCATGAATAAAACATGTATTGGCTTTGGTTAAGTAGCAGTGTCCTGGATAATTAGTGAAAAAGCAAAGTGGCAATTGCAAAAAACACAGGGGTTTCATTTCAGAAGGTCCTTTTTCAACAGACCTTGGCTGTTGTTTCAACATAATAGAAACAGTAAGAAATACAGCACATAAACCATGCAGGACAGAGAAATATTGCAGCATAAATTGATTCTTCAAATTATGTTCCAGGTAATACTGATGTTGCCAGGAAGGCAGCTGTTTAATTTCTGTAATCCTTCCCTTTTTGTGTGTTCTGTTTTGCCATGAATGAGACCCAACCTTATTTACTGCCTTATTCGGAACACTTTTAGTAGCTTTACTGCTAAATCATATAGGGGGCACGACCTTTTTAAGATTAGTTATTCAAGTAATCACAGAACAGAAGAGGCCGGGAGGTCCAACCACCAGCTCAAAGCAGGGTCAGTCAGAGTGCCTCGCTCAGGACTGCATCCAGACAGGTTCTGAGTATCTCCAAGGACAGAGCGACCTATTCTGGTCATTGAAAATCCTCACAGTTGAAGTTTTTTTTTTTTCCTGTACTTCAATTTGTGCCCACTGCCTCTTGTCCTTTCACTGAGCACTGTCTGCCTCTATCTTCTTTACTTCCCCATCAGGAATTTATACATCTTACATATGGGTACAATCCCCCTGGGTCTCTTCTTCCTCAGGCTGAACAGTCCCAGCTCTCTCAGCCTCAATTTCACTGTGTGTCAGATGCTCCAAGCTCTTCATCATCTAAACAGCCCTTCGCTGGACTCACTCCAGTACATCCACGTCTGTCTGGCAATGGAGAGCCCAGCACTGACACAGCACTCCATCTGTGTCCTCAGCAGAATTCAGAAGAGAAGGATCCACCTCCCTTGATTTGCTGACACTGCTCTTCCTAATGCAGCCCAGGATGCTGTTGGCCATCTTTACCATGAGGGCACAAGAAACATTTATCATGACAATACTGTCCCCACTCCGGACAATTTTAACACTACAATTAGATTTTCATAACACAATGTCAGATGCAAATTTCCAACTAGAATACATAGATGCCGTTAAAGTGCAGTCAATAGAACAGCAAACATTTACTCCATCTAGAAATCTGAACCATCCTGCTAAGTTTCCCATGAGTTGTTTTCATAATTCTAGGCACTAGAAGTCAAACTGCAAATTAAAGTGCAAGTGGGACCATCCCTACCAGAGAATCAAAAAGGTCAGAAGTCATCTTTAACTGCAGAATTGTCATTTCACTAAGCCTTGACAAAGGTAACAGGCATGAGCCTCCTCTGTTTGCTGGACTAGAACAACTGATGTCTTGTTTGCTTTGAAGTAAGTGGAAATTTTGCTACTGACTTCAAGGAGCCAGGTTTTCCCTGTAAAGGATATATTATGAGATGAGCATTCTTTCCTTTCATCATGTGCTGAAGAAGCTAAACTGACACCTGTGACTTAGCTAGGAAGGTGTTTGTTTTGTGTGCAGCTGAGCTTGCTTTCATGATGCATGTCACCTCACGATGTTGTGTCAGAAAGTAACAAGGTTTGCCTCTGCGTCCCTAACTGCTGAGCTGCACTGCATCACTCAGTGCTTCATGCTACAGCACGTGCATACAAAGGATGGAGAGGTGGGATTCACACTGCACATGCTCTCAGCTCTCTAATCAGCCATTTACAAAATAATCTACTTTTCCACAAATGACACACATGACACAAATGAAATCTCTTAGCAATTGAAATACAGTTTGATAAGAGCTCTACTCACCATTGCAGCTGCAGCTGTCTGGTTCACCTGATGTTGAGCTGCCTTGATTTTGGCTTGCAGGTGTGCAGGGGGATGAAAGTACTTGCATTTCTCCCTAGAGCATCGACCTTTGATGTAATCCATGCAAACTGTAACAGTATTTTCATTTGTGTCTATCATCGCAATATCTATAGGGTGAGCATAGCGGCAGTCGTTCTCACCACGTGTGCAATTTCCACGCTGAAACTCTCGACAAACCTTAAAAGAAAGTCACGTTGTTGAGAAACACATCGTGCTACTCTTCAGTATTTTCAACACAGCATATGAGTTTGGGAGGCTACATTAAGTAACACGCATATTCTAAATCCATGCTTAACTTGGGCACCACTTGTGCAATCACAGGGCAACTGGTGCTATTCACAATTGCCTCAGGATGAGGGAAACCCAGTGTTACCAAGGCCAACTACCAAAGTAATGCAACTGCAAGTAAAGCACAGAATTTGTGTGAAACGGAAAGTTTCACACAATCCCAAATCTGGTAAGTTAATTTTGTATAGATCTCAGTACCCTTCCCCTATCTCTAAAGGTCAGATTTTAATAATTTTGCCATTTGTGTCTCAGGAGGATTATGCATCTTTTATGGAGCACACTCCTGGGTAGGACTTTTAATTCTCAACATTGGAAGCTGCAGTATTCAGGTACTTATTCTTAAATATGAGGAGCCTCTTTCATGCAAATAGCCCTCCATAATAAACCTCTGACCTTAGGGTTACATGACAGTGCATTTAATTACACTGCAATCCATTCTAAGGTGCTGCCAAACTGCTGGCTTTAAAAATATCTTGCAGCTCCTCATACGTTACGAGCACTGAAGCATCAAAAGCAGAGAAAAAAGTTTCACAAAATGGAGCTTCCTTGTCTGAAGGTATGAAGGAACGAAGAAAAATTATTATGCCCATAGCCAGCAGTGTAAATCACATACACTATCAGACTGCGTGCAGGGAAAGGTAAGACATCACGTGAGAATGGAAGCAATCAGCAAAGCAGTAAAAAGCATGTAACACAAAACAATCTGTTTTCAAATTATACCCTTTTCCACCGTCTTCCAGTGTTATAATTTACACCTGCAGGAGTCTCTGAATTCAAGTCCTCAGCCCTTATTTCCTGCAGAGCTTCTACTAAGGGTCTGAAAGACATTTACAGTTCCTTGAATGCTAGGTCCCAGCATGCCCAGCCAAGTGCCATAGCAATCCTGGTGGGGGAATATCTTTCCAATGCTTCACACTCAGCAGCCCCAACAGTCTAAGCTTTCTGCTTTCTGTAAGAACTTAGCAAGCTTATCTCAAGACAAGAGAAGTGTCTGTTCCTTCCACCCTACTGTTCTCATTCCAAAACATCTCCCACTCAACTCGGTGAAAGGGCAGACTATCTGCTTGCTTTTATTTATTTTTTATTTCCAGTGATTTCAAAGCACTTGGGATCAGTCCCCATATGAGTCTGCTCCAGCAGAGAGCAGCAGCCCTGTGACAGGACTGCAACTTTGCACTGCACTGCATCAGGTCATTGTGGCAGAGTGCAACAGTTGGGCCAATGCACCCTGTTCATTCCCTTTAGCAGTATGAAAACAGACATCCAAATACCTCCAGTTTATCCGTACGCATCAGTTTCTGCCCAGCAGAGCTTCCTGGTACCGTAACAGTTGGATTTCCAGAAACCAGGACAGGAGTATTTGGTAAAAGCTCCGCAGGAACCAAGCCCATCCCAGGAGAAACATGACTCAGGTAGGGACTAAAAGCCATTGTGGGGCTTGTTGCAAGCGATGGAGTCACAGGAAATGTCGTCTGTGCATAGAAAAAGGAGAAACAAAATATTAGTTAAAGAGCCCTGTCTTGGATTACCCAGTCAAAGCCTTACAGCACTTCAATCCTTTTAAGCAAATCAATAAGCAACATTAAAACGCTGTGCTCTTCAATCTATTCATTTATTGCCATTTACTTGTGATCCATTCGTTTCTCCTGAGTCACAAATTCATGACTCATGCTGAACATAAGGCATCTTTATTTGTCAGATCAAAGTATATTGATGATCTTTATAGTTTAATGACACAATTAAGGATTTCATGCCAGCAATTAAGGCAGGTCCAAATTAAACAGACTTCTCCCTCCCAGAGAAATGCCTCAGCTTTTGTATGTCTACACTGCAATGCTGTACAGACTTCAAGGTAAATGGAAGCTTCAGGATCTAGAAGCACGTACCACAGTTAGCTTCGTGGTTGAATTTACTACCAACTTGCATTGTGCTTCATGTTACCACAGATAGTCTGGCTCGGGTAGACAAATTGGATAATTTAGAGTCATGAGAAGCATTTCTGCTCTGGTGCCCTTCAAGGTCTAGCATTCTGCACACTGAGGAATTTGTTTAGGACTGTCAACGTCCTCCAGGCAAAAGCCATTTTGCAGAAACACCCTGAGCCTGTGTTCCATGGGAATGGAGACAAGACGACATCTAGTAATAACACAATATGCTAGACCTCACAGATTTGCAAGAGCAGACAGCTCTCTGGCTTGAAAGAGACATGGACAGTGTGTGCCAGATGATGTTCAGGTGGGCCAGGACCACACTCAGGACCCCATCCATCCTGTAAGGAGTGATGCTCCCAGGAGGGACAGAACAGCAGACCACAAAGACCTGGACTGCTTTTGAAACCTGAATTGCCTTAGGCAAGCCCTGCAGGAAGAGTGGTGAAGAACACAGGTGGGCCGACCAGCTTCCCCTGCCTGAACTTCTTCAGCAGCTACAGTCTATTATAATTTCAATTTTCCTGGATAAGCAAACTCCTAAACTGAACTCCTAAGTAGGGATAGAATGTCAAGCCTAAGAAACAGCCCTTAATCAGAGAATCTGTGAAACTTTAAAGCACCCAGGTGATGTAAAACACCCCCTTCCCTCCCAGATGGCCAAAGCCTGCAAGGAAGCAGTTCTACTCCTGTAACAGTAGCTTGACAAGCCCTCAGGTAAAGTAACCTGTGACTTGCAACCGTTTTTATTTTTCCTCCTGCCACCTGTTCCGCTGGAAACTCTGGGTTACAGTTAAAGCTTGCTCACATTTGCTGGCACATATGACACTGTCCTCAGCAGCTAGAGCCTCTGCTCAGCAAGAGACACAAGTGTGCTTACAAAGAGCCCTGAGGCAGTTCTGTGGCCGCTCACATCACCCCTTCCTTGCTTTTATTTTTGTACTTCGAATCTCACAGCTTTCTGTAAGAAACTACACATGAATAGTTTGTTTCTTGACAGCATCCTCACGCCAGTAATTTGATATACTAGGAAACACCTTGCTAGCTGTGATCTGCAATAAAGCAGCCCACAGCAGCAACAGCTAAGCTGTCCTAACCTATCTTCAGCTTAATGATGCCCTCTTCTTAGGGTCAGATGGATAGTAACAGCACCTGAGCTGATGGGAAAGGGGACGACAGGCCACTTCCAGCATACACTTTCTCCTCCACAATGACAAGGCACCGCCTGCTGAATCAGTGGACTTTGGTGCTTTAAGAGCAGTGAACCAAATAATCCTCTAAGAGGGATTTCCAATTTTCCTTCTTTTGAGCCTGATCCAAACCCCGCTTCAGCTGATAGGAGATTTTGACTATTAAACCCAGAGATCCTTCTGTCCATAGCCCTTTATTAAATCATTTTGTTCTCTTTCAGTACTTGTTGGCTCGTGGACACGTTACACCTTTTGCTGCTAGAAAAGCTCTTTAAGGATCTTCAAACACTGTGACTCCCTGAACACTTCAGTGAGAAGGCAGCATCCATTAAGACTATTTTCTTTTGTATGGGTACAAGTAATTACACTGACATCTGCTGAACTTCTGTCATCGCTCAAACTGTTAATTCTAAGGAACTTCTTCAGCCTGGATGGTCTTTGCAGGGCTGTGCCGAGGCCTGACACCTGTTGCCAGCACTTCTTTCATGAGTCCACAATAGCTCCAACATTGCAGTATGTGTGGCATACACAAATACGTGGGCAAATCTATCCAATGTATTTCCAGCACCTAGTACAGCAGTTATCCCAGCAGAGCAGCATGGATGGTTGGAGAGGCACTCCTCCCACTGCTCCAGTAGAAGATGCTGGAGAAAGGCTGGGGGTTTGCAGCACCTCACACCAGATGAACTCACCAGAAACCTATAGGAGTGTATTTGAAATGTTCCTGAAGAGATTATATGCCAGCATACAACTGGGAAACAGGTCCTGCACTGTGAAACACTGTCCCTGTCTCCAAGGCCATACTACCAAGAGTATTCCTCAGTGGGAGCAAGCAGCACAAGCTAATTAACAGGAGCCTGATCTAAAGCAAATGAAGGAAAGATGTTCCTGAAGAGGAGTTGAGGAGTGCAATCTCTTCCTGGTTCTGGGACCTGCAGAGGGACGCATGAAGGAGCAGGATGGCTTTTGCTTTCTAGCTGGCATTAGCCATCAACCAATCTCCACGCCCTGCCTGGCATCTGCTGCAGCATTCCCAAGGTTTCATAACCATTTATTCCTCCTGCCTGAACAGCAGTACCTGATGCTGCTGACTGAAAGCTACAGCTCTGCTCCACACCCTGCCCTGGGGCAGCAAGTAGAAACACAGGATTCACGCAGGCACCGCCACTGGGAGACCCACATGCTCCATCCCAGCCCTCCTCAGGCCGCAGCTGCCAGCAGCTCTTCCCAGAAATCTTGGATTGACAGAAGAGCCTGAACCCAGCCCAAGGCTTCTGCTTCCAGGAAACTCATGAAAGCGGAGGCAAAGCTTAGCTGGAGTACGGCTGTATGAAAACCCAGACGAACAACCGAAGAACAAGCAGACCTCACTCAATGCATTAAAGCTCAAAGAGCTGTCTTCAAGTCTGAAGCATATCAAATGCACTGAAAACTACTCCTTTGCAAGCTGGCATCGGGGAGCTCTGTATTTACTGTGGCTGATGAGGGAAAAAGATGGGCTGTGCTCACTGCCAGCCCTGACTGTCTGTCTTGGTTTGGGAAATCCAGTCTGGCTCATGCATCAGTACCAGTAATAAAGACAGTGCCAGCCAAATCTTCCCTCCCTTTACATCTGTGCAGGTCCCCCGTGCCAGGCCTGTCCCAAGGGAATACAAGCAAGTTTCCTCCTTGCAGCCAGAACACAACTGTAATTTCTACTCCAAACAGCACTTTCCTCAGGGTGCCTCCCATGCACCTCTTGTGATTGCATCTTGCCAGGAGATTTGTTGGAGAGATCAATATTTTGACTGCACACTAACAAAAAGCCTTCTTATCAGCGGACAGGCACACATGCTGTGGGCTCTGGACAGAGGGCTGGTAAGGTCAAGTTTTGATGCAAAACCCAACAATGCAATTCCAAATCACTGAAATCATTACTGCTAATGAAGCATTGTGGCCAAGCTCTTGAACAGCAGGACAAAAGCTCTGCCTCTGTGGGAACAGCAAAAACATGTGGCTTGCCTTAAGGATTATCAGAAGCTGCAAACTGCTGCTCTCATTTCATACTCAGTTTAAATTGAGCAGATCACCTTGGAGGAGTAAAGAGACTCGGATAGACAGCCACAAACACGTGTGCAATGGAGGAGGCTGGCATGCTGGGACAGCCCCAGGCTTCTTGAGCTGCCAGGCACCACCAGCACAGCCACCAGCCTGCCTGCTGCTGGTCAGCCTGCGAGGTCTGAACTGCATTGCTACAATACAGGCAGCAGCCAGCTTGGATAGTATTAAGAAGGTTCAAAGAGACCTGCGTAATAGGCTGCTTTTAATCACTGGGAGCACAGATGATCACCTTCAGAGCAGGCAGGTGTGCAAACTACAGGTCCCCAGGCTGGCTGAGGACAGAGGGAAGCCCCTAGGAGCACAAGGGCCAGCTGCAGCAGAATTAGGGATCAACTCTACCTGATCTGTCTCTGGAAACCTAGAGGATACTTTTCCCTGGAAAATTCAAGCATGTCAGACTTAGGAACCTGCTATCTGCAACAAAGACTGGTATGCTCTGGGGCAAAACAACCTGATGGAAAACATCACTTTCACTTGCTGCACCCCTTAGAGATCTTGTATATTCAGCAAATGCAGGGACAGGTTTCCTCACAGACTGTTTTTTAATAATCTTAACATATGCAAACACCACCACTAACTTCTGAGCAGAGGGAAACAGCTCACAGCATAGAGGCAGAGGGGCTCAAACCAGCAGTGGCTCACAAGACTGGTTTACTGATTATTAAAATGTTTGCAAGAATGTAAAAAGCCCAAATAGCTTTTTTAAGACCGTATCTCAAGGAGGAATGCCTGCCAAGGACTTAGGCAGCTTTGTCTGTAGCAGGCATTTATCAGATGTGGGCATTTCCCAGACCCAGAGCACAGAGGTGGTTGGAAGACAGTGTGAGCACAGAGAAGGGACTGTCTAAGGCAGAGCCATTTGTCACCACCGTGACACATTACCTGGAACAGTTGATTTTGTTAACAAACCAGAAGTTGCATTCAATTTGCCTAACAGAAATCATGCTGAAGCTGCAGCAGAAACAGAGTGGGTGTGCAGAGGAAAGCAGGGGAGTGGCTGTGTTTTGTTCAGCACAGCCCAAGAGCTACCTCAGGCAGGAAGTGTTGATGCTGAGTTACCTCAGACCCTAAAAAGAGAAAGCCTGAAAATGAGAGATGGTGTGGATACAGAGGTGCTGTTGGCCTGGAGGACAGGAACAGCTAAGAAGCTACACAAGGAAACACACAAAATACAGCAGTAGCTTTTATTACAGACTAGTGATAGAAATATAGAAGATAAAGATCTTGTACTGACAAGGCTGAGGACTGATCAATATCAGTGACAAGTGGTACTGTTCAGAAAAAGTAAAAGCTTGTGTTCCCATGCAATGCAACTGCATAAGGCTTGCTGCAAGAATCCCTTTAGCATGAAGGCTGAGCATGCTGCAGTGAACCCCACTGGCCAAAGCCCAGCTACCTGTTAGCACCACAGCTTGTTTCCCCAGTCAGACCACCAAGACACTCCTGGCTCAAAAAGCATCTCCCTTTCGAGTTGCTGCTGCATAGAAGTCTGGTGTGAGCACCTCACAGCAGTGACTGCTCAGGGATATCAGCTCCCAGGTGGGCAAAGATACTTGTGTTTACCCATTCCTAATGTGCCTTTGGCTATGGATCCAGAAGATCAGATTTTTGCTGCATGGAACAAGCATGCACCCAAAATACCAGTTCCAGTCTCCTCCACTTATTCCAGCCACGTCACTGTGCTTTATTTCCTTCCTCAGCACCGTGGGGCAGCAGCAGAGACCTGCAGCACCAGGATGGATTAACTGCTGGCCTGGCTGTGTCTGGGAGCACAGGTGACTGAGCAAAGTCTACAAAGTGCTTGACAGGAAAGAAAAGATGAAGGGCTTGAAAGCAAAAAATTCAGAGGAACAATTTCCCAGGGCAGCAGCAGTGGTGGAGGCAGGTGTGTCAGCACTGCAGTGCTTCACCCAGCCACCTGCTCATACAGTGCCAGCATGGCAGTGCCTTGCAACCACAGCAGGGCACTGCTGGGTCCACACAGCAGTCAGTGCCCAAGCAGCTCCATGGCCAGCACCAAAAGTCAGCCTCATATTGCTGCAAAGGGGTAAAGCACAATGGAGAGGGTGGGGAATCAGGCTCAGGGTGCATCACTTTTTGGGAGGCCTTGCTTTGGTGCACAAACGACTCAAAGTGACTGTGTCTGGGAAACAAAACTCAACACTGACTCAAGTGGCTTTCCATACCAATGCCAGAGCCCAGCTCTATTCACCTTCAAGAGTTCTACTTCATCTTCAACAGAGACAGAGGAAAACTGGCCTGGAAAGCTTCCAGAACAGCTCAGCCCAAGCCAGCAGCTAAGGAGAATCTGGCGTTTGGGAAGTTGACGTTTTACTACAGAGCTCTCCTCCTCAGTACCTACACAATCTCCTCAAGGCTCCTTTAAGACAAATACAGAGCAAACACTGTTCTGTGTCCTTGCCTGACTCGTTTTGAAGTGCTGTATGAAGCATTCTGTTTAAAACTGCATGATGGGCATCAAACATTTTCATGATTCTCAGCTTTGCACGGATGGTTAACAGCAACATCACAGAGCAAACCTGAGACTCCAGTGAAACAGCTTCATGCTAGCAACCATTAATTCACACCTGGTAGGTTTCTGTGAGGAGCAGGCAGCACACCTGGGACAATTCTTCTCAGAGCAAGCCTTCATTAAGCTGGCATTATCAGGGTCCTGGCCATTAGTTCAGCAGGGAGATTACCTCTTGCTGGATGTCAGCAGTGGTACAAGTTAAGATATATGCTCATAAATGGACACATCCAATGCCATTTCAGGAAATATGATGAGAAGTTGCTACATTAAGCACTATTTTACACATATTTTTTCTGGTGAAAATGCACCTTAAAAAGTCTGGGCATTCAGCTATTGTTTGGAGCTATTAAACATGCTGCTCCAAATCTCATTTCTGGCAAGTATCCCAATTAAGCAGGCATACCGTTGATCAGCTTTCTGATCACATGGAATCTGTTCCACTGCTGCATCTGAGATAATGCTTTCTGCTTTGAAGAATTTCACGTGGAGCTAAGAGGAGGCCCCACCCTTCCCATTTAAAGAGAAAAAACACTCTCAGACTGCTTCCACCGGCAGCATCTTTGGGAAATCAAAAGCAGGTGAAAGGGCCATCTCTTGTCTGTCCTGAAATTGGTGCGGAACAAGCCAGGCAGCAGGAATTACAACAAGAGCTCATTTACTCTGAGCTCTGGGAAAGCAGGAAGCGAACAGTCATCGCAGAACCAATTCTTATTTTTCTTCTTTCCCTATGTCTCCCTCATGGCACAATTTAGAAACCAGGGGCCTTTCTCATCAGATAAGGTTACCTCTGAAATGAGAGCACTAACCAGACAAACCAACAGATTCAGTCTCAGAGGCAATTTAAAAGGCAGCAGTGAAACTGTAGTAGGAGAGAACTGGATCTGCAAGATTGCAAAGTGGGAAGATGGGAACTTTCCAAAGAGGAAATCCCAAAGGTATTTTGAATAGCCAGCCAAAGAACCACTGTGAATTCCCCACAGAGGAAAACCCCAAACAGGAAAGGTTTGCTTTCGATGCAGGGCTAGGAAACCAGTGCTACCATTTTGTGGGAATCCAGGATTTCCTTCCTATGCACACGTACTTCAGTGAAAAGCAAACTCCACTAGAAGAGGTGCAAAGACTGCAGCAGATTCAGGATCCAAAGCAACCAACAAATAGCTCATTTTCTCTTCTGCCTCACTTTTCCATCTTTGAAATGGGAAGAATTATCAGCACTGCCCCCATCTGGGGGCTCTGTAGGTGGGACACCAAGAGGCCAAGCACTGCTTCACAAACTTAGAGGCTAGAAGAGTGTATCTCAGGATCTAGTCAGACCTCCTGCATGGCACATCAAGCACACATCGCCCCAGGAAAGACATTCACCCATGACTGAAATGGAAAATTCCTAATTAGGCTCAGAGTTAAAAACATACAGCTTATTGATGTCAGTGATGAAGAGCTACTTCAAAACCTCTGGCATTTTCTTAAGATATACTGACAGACCAACACTCAGCAGACGCAAGCCATCCTCTCCCTGGCATAACGTGGTTCTCCAGCCTGAAAACTGGCTTTAACCAATAGTCCACAGTGGGGACAGGCAGTGAAGGCTTCTCCAAAACATCTGTTCTGCAAACAGCTATTTCCCACAGGTTTCCCTTCTTCTGGAAGAGAAATAAATCTTTCCTACTGTTAGCATAAAACAATATTACCAAGAGAAAGAGTGACAGAGCTGTAGCATTAACACAGCTCTTTGTTGGGACGGCTAGAATGAAATTGGTCCCTCTGACACAAGCGTCTGGTTGAAATCCATCTTTCCCAATTTCAGCCCACCAATGCAACGTACCTACTGGCTGCCTGCCACAGGGCAAAGACCTTCAGCAGCATCAGCCCAGCGTAAAACAGCTACCCAAAACAGAACACACTGGAATCAAGCCACTCAGTTTCAGGGATGTACATGAACAGACTCCACCTGGTGCTAAGATGCTCCCACCTGATGACTTGAACTCGCAGTACTCGGTTATCAGAGGAAAGGAGAGCCACAGCTCCAGAAGCAAACAGGAAAGATATCAGGATGAGTGTGAAACCCAACTCGCAGTGACTTACGATTGGCTGTAGCTGCGTGCCTGGTAGCATGAACTGCATTTGCTGGGCAAACATGGCTGCGGCCGTCTTTTGCTGAATCAGGTTGTTGCGTCCATTTATTTCAAGTTGTGTTTTTAAGTGCGGGGGAGGGTGGAGATATTTGCAGTTCTCTCGGGTACACCGGCCCTGAAAAACATAACAGAACACCATTTCAGTGAATGCAAGGCTTGTGGCAGCCAGAGAAATTTAATGATGGGTTGTTTGGGTTACTGTAACGATACAATCAGGCGGAGGCATTTTGGTGGCTACTGCACTACTTTTGTGCTTTTCCTTTAGCAGAACAATACTGAGGTGAAGAGAAGAACAACACGACTCCTGCTGCTGTAACACCAACTGAGCACTGTCAAAGTGAATCCAAAAGTGAAGCTTCCTAACATTAATTAACGTGATTGAAAAGAAAGAAAGAAAAACCCTAAGTCTAAGATAAACATCACTATTTCCAGAAGCTACCAACAACAGTTCCAGAAGCAACATCAAAAATCTCCCTTTTTCCTGTGTGGGTTGTTTTTCCTCTCCCTCCCGACACTAGACCACTTAATTGGCCCTAACAACCAGACAGAGAAACACGTCCCTACCGCTATTCTAGCTGCTCTGGGTAAAATGCAAGGCAACATCTCTGTAAGAGAAGTACCACTGATCTTCAGCATGCATGTAGACTGAGATGCTGAGAACTGGGAGCAACAAGAGCAAGAGTTCAGACAATTCCCTCGTCATGCTTCCACTCATTAAAAGCCACAGTACCTTGCATCACTGACTTCTTTCTTTCCTTCCCCTAAATAAACAGAACTACAAATGAAGCCAGGGGCTCCCAAAAAGCAGAGGTCTGCTCACGTTACAGACCACCTGAAACCATCACTTTCAAAACCATATGAAAATTGTGCTTTGCATAAATAGCGTTTGCAGGCAAACAAAGAAAAATGCAAATAGTTGACTGAGTACAAAAAATGGTAATATATTTAAGAATAATTAATGCTTAGGTTGTTGTGAGATTTTAAAAACCTTTCTCTATGCATTTCATCTTCTAAAAAGATGAACAGAATACAAGAGACATCTTGTGCAATTTATGCATATGTTTTATAAATAACTTTTATGCAAAAATGGTGAGGTTTTTTGGTGGTTTTTTTTTTTTTTTGATGACAGTAATTCTTCTGTAGCTATTCAGAGCCCCACAAAATGGGGCCAGAACTGAGGGACACAGAACTGCTACATGATGGATAACTAATAATTGTTACTGCAGACAGCAAAGGAACAGGATCATCCATTACCTAGCCCTTGTCCCAGGCATTCTCTCCAAGGGACGGACACTGAGTTCTCAGCCTCAATATAATTAAGTGTGCCTTCAAAACAAACAAAAAAAACAAAGGGCAAATGAGGTAACCCCATGTTCCTGCCTGCTGGCAGAAGAGCAGCATCCCCATAACCAGATCCACGAGGTCACCCTGTCACACAAAGCACCAGACAGGGCACAGCCCCTCTGGGATGGCCCTCAGCCAAACTGAGGATGCTTCCCTGGGGATTTTTAAGATTTGCCTCTGCCAGGACAGGTGGAGTCACTGCACAGGGCTGAGCAACACCACACAATGCCAATGCTGTGCACCACTGGAGAAGCTGCCTTTGAACCACCTCAGCATACCAGGAGAAGCAGCTGCTGCAGGGGAAGAGGGCTGCAGAATGTGGGAGAGGCTGTGTGAAAGAGCATCAATAGAGACAAGCTCCTGTATCTGCTCCTTGGGGATCAGGCAGTTAAACAAGACTCCCGGCTCTCCGCTGTTATTTTTTAAAGGCAAATAATCAAGTGATGGGCTAAACCTTCCTGAGGTTCAGAAGCTTGCATTTGCTCAGTGAGACTCTGCCTTGCTGCTAGAGGAGGTGCTCAGTGGCTTCCAACAACCAAACTGCAAAAGAAGAGGCTTTTTCACGCTATTCTTTTTGGCTTCTCTGCAATCCAACAGCACCAGATCCCTAGCAGCGAGTTAATTGCTCAGAGGCCCTGAGGACATGAATCTTCATTGCCAGACGTTCCTTGAAGTGATGGTAAAATGGCACCACACAGACAGCCCAAGACAGCCAGCACTGCTTCGAGGCAAAGAAGAGCATTAAACCAGAAGGAGAAGGAGACTCCTTTGGGATTCAGCTGGTTTGGGTCGTCCTTCCTGCTTCCATGACCAATCCTGCTCACCTTACTCACAGACAGGTGGAACAGCAAAGGCAGGCACGCTGCTTCAAGGTGATGTCACACATCTTGAATTCAGTTGTCTAAGCCAAGTTACTGTGATTCCACTCACAGCTTTCTCCCCACTGACCCACACACACATCGAGGAGCTCACGATGAAGGTGGCATCTCTACAGCAAACAGGAGCCCAGCACACGGGCTCAGAGCACGTCTACTCTGTTCTGGACTGCAGCCTTCCAGGGCTTACACATTAATTCTTCCTGGTTGGAACCTGGCACACAGTGCCCTGAGTTGGGAGAATGCTAATGTATCTACCAGATTTGGAATGGATCTGTGAGATTGTTTCTAGGCTGCAGGAATGAAGGAAATGAAAAATAGCTGCCATTTTAGTGAGCAATACATATAGGGCTGACCTCAGCTTGAGAGGGCTTTGTCATTCCAACTGAAATTTGGCACATCAATGATACCATACACCACAGTTGGTGTTAAACATCGTTCTACTTCATTCTTTCCCTCAAAACAGTTTAAATCCATCGAGGTTCTAAAAACAATGCTTTTATTATCAAGAGAACAACATACTTGATAAGGCCTGGTCTGCAGAGCTGTGAGCAGAAAGCAGTGCCCACTGAGTGCTGCTGGTTCCAATGAAGATATGGAATATGCATTTGTGAGGAACTAAGAGCTGCAGAGATGCTGCTGCAGAGCAAAAGCTGTGAAATGCAGGCACTGCAGTCATTTGGGCCTCCTATGGCTCCAGGAAGGCTCAATGAATCACCATGTAAATTTGGAAATCACATCTTCAACCCAGCTCCTATTTAGTGTCATTCTGGTTTCATGCATCATCAATTGCTGCATTCCACCATGACTGCTTAGAAGCCAGCATGGAGATGGATTTCACTCTCCTGCACCACGGCAGATTCTCCATCTGACAACAAACATTAGGAACCAACCGTACAACAGAACAACACAAAATATTCCTGTCCTGGTGACCTCAGTTTAGACCTCCAGCTAAACAACATTCAAAATGCTTCATCAAAAGTAATGGGCACTTCTGAACACCCACACTGGTAGAGGTAATCCCCTCCTCGACATTTCCACCACTATGTCCATAGTTCCCATTACTTCTCAGCAATGCACGAGCTTAACCACACTGATTTCAGCCCAGTGAAAACAGCCAGAAGGACGAAGGAACTGCCATTATTTGCTTCTCAGTACCAACTGCACCACAGCAGGGAAAGCAATGGGGAACTGGTAGCAAAATCTGCTGTGTGGAGAGTGGGCTGGGGACAAATAAGGACAACTCCATTTCATACCTGGAGTGGCCTAGGAATACAGTAAGAGAAAAAAACACGAGTCAGGCTCCAAAGCCTCAGAGGAGTGTTTTTACCACTAAGAGGTGCTCACTGTTTTGATGAAGTGAGAAGCTGCGGCTCCAGCACAAAGATAGCCTCAGCAACAGCCAGGTTGGCTATGTGCTATGGGAAAGGCAAAGCCCTCAGAGCTTGACCCTGGACACAAAGCAGTGTGCTGAGCTGCTGCGAACACTGCAGCCAGTGCAGTGTAATTGGAGGAGTTTGTTCTGGTGCTGTTATTGCAGCATGAGTATTGATTCGAAGGAGCACACATTACCACCCTGCCCCAGGGTGGCACACGAGCCTCCATCCAAGGAATCACCGCCCAGCAACAGACTGCTGCTGGCCCTGGGAACATGCTAAATATAGCCATCTTTTCTGGCTCCTCACAAAATGGAAGGAGTATGAAGGACCGTATTCATCAGCTTCTTTGCCAACTAGAGCCAGGAGGGAAAGGCATATGGACTGCAATTCCCCAGGCTCGAAAGATGGATATTAAAAATAAATCATTAAAGCATTTTCTGAGAGTATCTTCTCTCCTTCCTTCCCACATGCTCCCCCACCCTGGCAGTAGGCTGCTGGCATGTGACCGACTCCGTGTTGCCAACCGAAGTCATGCTGTGATGGCGCATACTGTAAATGGTTGGCATCCAACACGAGTTAACGTGACAACAGCTTGCAATGTAAGTAACAAAGGCAGCTGTTTCAAGCATAGCAGCGATGGCAGCACGCTTAAACGCAATAGCAATACCTGTGTTACACCCAGTGTTTGGAGTGCAGTCGGCTGCACCTTGGTTTGTATCCCCACTGTGTGCCTGCGCAGGGCTGGCTGAGCCACCCCTAACATGCTGCACAAGTTCTCCCCTTGCTGGCTGCTGAAATGAGCCAAACCACGCTGCAAAAGCAGAACTTTCAGCACTAACCCAAGGCTGCACTCGCATTTACACCCATGCCATAAGGCAGTTTGTTACAAGCCTTTAATCAAGGATGCCGGTGAGGGGTTCCAGAGCACACCCGTCTCTGGTTTTAATGACTGCACTGCATGTCCTGTCAATCACCAGTAATTCTCATGTGAAAACCTTTAAGTTAATGCTGTTTTTCACACACTAGAGGCTGTAGTAGTCCTGGGCCTTGACTGTGCTGTCTTCTCCACAGACATTGATGACATGTGCAATGACTGACAGCAAAACGAATGAAAAGAGATGAGGCAGGAAAGGATTTCCATGTTTTGCACAAAACCAGGCACCAAAACACAGCTTGACTACATAACTTCTCTCTGCATGAAGCAGCAGATTTCCCTCCCCAGAGGAGCTCAGTGAGGAGGCACATGGAGATGCGCGGTGCTGCTTACTCAGAGCTCTGGCTGCAGCACGAAGCACTGCCTTCACCCACTCCACACGTGCACAGAGCCTTCTCCTTGCTGCAGAGCCCAGCACAGCTGTCATACATTACGTGCAACACGGCCTCAGCCATCTAGCATGAGCTGCTGCATGCTGAGGGCAGACAAGGACCAGGCAACACAACTGGCCATAGTGTGTAAGTTATCAAGGGGCAGTGGGAGCCAGCATGAGGGAGCTCAGGGCTTCAGCCCGTGTCCATGC